TTTTTTTTGTATGGAGAGTTTATATGCATACCACATATTTTTTATGTATTTATATACCGAGCACCTAAATTTAAATATGTATTTATTTTAACCCTAAAAATTTTAACAAAATAATAAAATAACAGTAAGGTTAATTTTTAAAAAATGAAACACATCTTTTCGTACATATTTGATAATGTAATTGTGATAATAAAATACTATATAAATAAACATCACAGTTTATATGTCAAATATGTAAATACAGAATCCTTTTTATTTTAATTATTGACTTAATCCCAATTTACGAAATAATGATACTCACAGTTTGAAGGGCAAGCTGAGAGCTAATATTAAGTACCCTGCTCTTCATCGCCGGCGACCGCCGGAACAGTGGCAGAAGCTCTTGAATCAACTTCCTCTGCCCATAGAAGTTTGTTCTGATCACAATCTCTGCCTCCTCAACATTGTTGCTATGAATCTCACTAAAAGACACACCAGCATTGTTCACCTGCAACATAAATTTCCATTCATATATTATGAAAGAATGGTATTTACATCCACAGCACCCAATTCTTATGTATTTGCACATAAAAAATACCACCTCTAAGAAATTAAATACATCCTTTCATGCATAGAAAAGATTGAATATATGTAAAAATTATAACTGAGTGATGTGCCATGCAATATATATAGATGGTACTGACAAGAATGTCAAGGCCTCCAAATGTGACATGAAGCCGGGAAGCAAAATTCAAAATTGATTCATCGTCTGTAACGTCTAATTTGCAGAAATGAGCAGTGAGGCCTCGCTTAGCTAAGGAAAGAACTGCTTCCACGCCTTTGCTTTCGCTCCTGCAAGTGAGAACCACGGTCAGCCCAAACTCCGCCAGCTTCTCCACAATGGCAAAACCTATGCCTCTGTTCGCACCGGTCACAATCGCCACCGTCTTCTCCGTCCACCATCTGCATGTCAACATTTAGTTAGCTCTCTCTCTCTCTCTCTCAAGGGATTATTATGTGCAATCATTTGCGTGTCAAATCTTGGTACATCTTTTATTTATTTTATTATTAGAGTGGGACCCACTGCGTCAGGTGTCTGCCGTACTAATTTTTCCTCTCTATGAATGTATATGTATAATGTGATATGGATAATAACTATTATCATACATATTTATGATATCATAATTAATGCTTAACAAACTAAGGAAATAAGCCAGAATATAAACGTGTGAGTTGCTAGACATAGGAAAACATAAAACAATTTTAAAGATAAATTACATGCCTTTTATTTTTTGTTTTAAAAAAATCATTTGCTGAAATGTCTACTTTTCTTAAAATAAATACAAAAATAAAAATAACAAACAAAAAATAAAAGTGATTCAAAAAAAATTCCTTAATTTATTGAAATATATAACTTTCTTTTCTTTTATGTGCTAATGTGATGTCAAATTTGTAAGGAAGAATTACATGCATGCCACACAAGTTTTATGTATTTACATATCTAACTCCTAAACTTCATTTTTTACATATTTGTCACTTTACCTACGAAAGATTTAAGTGCTATAAATGTAAAAAGTATAGTTTACGCGAAAGATATGTAAATTCATAGGAATTGGGTGGTTTGTAGGTAAATGCCCCAATTTTTAAACAGGTAAAGTATTTATTATTGTAACTGTGTATATTTACTACTACGTGGATAGAGACATAATTTTGACCGCGCTAAAATGATTTGGCAGATCAACCAAAATAATAATTTTAAGTGTTACTTCATAGAAAAAGGAACTATATTTAACATATTATATAAACGGCATATAATATTTGCAAAATGTTCTTCTTTCCTAAACAAGCATTTCTTATGACTGCTAATGAACTTTTTGTGTGTGGCTAATTATTTCCTTTTTCAGGCTAAATACTTTTTTAGCAGGGAGCAAGAAAATACAATATACAATAAAAGAGAAGGGCATTTACATTCATACCGCACAAATCTTACATATTTACATATGAACCACCAAAACAATCATATTTACACGCATATAATTCAAACTTTTAACAGCACCTCAAAAATATCACCATTTTGATCATTTTTAAATGTGGAATAAGTCTCTTCATGCATAGATTTATGACACAAATGTGCTATTACTATAAATATCAAATTTTGGGTGTTAGAAATGTAAATAACAATGTGGTATGTATATAAATTTCTCTACCCGAAATATATATTTATTAAAACTGCTAATCTTACCTAGCCATGAATGTTTATGTGTAGTTGACGACGCAGCAATAGCAACGTGGTTTCCTTTAGGAGGAAGTGAGTTAAAGCAAGATGAGGAGAAATATATAGTATTTTTTTTGGATGTTATGTTTATACATATAAATCTATCTATCTATCTATATATATATAGAGAGAGACAGATAGATAGATAGATGGTTCATTGTGCGTTAGAGAAGATATGAAAGATGGGAGAATGATTAATTACTTATTAAAACATGAGTGATTAATGGAAATAAGATCAACTTTGATATGTAAATGCCAGTCTCACTATAGCTCAATCGAATAAATTAATATAACTGGTATAATTAACAAGTTTCACGTGGAAAGTTTATGGATTGAAACCAAAATCTCACTTTGGCTCAATCGAATAAATTGATACAACTGGTATAATTAACATGTTTCACGTGGAGAGCTTATGGATTCAAACCAAAATCTCACTTGGGCTCAATCGAATAAATTAATACAACTGGTATAATACAAACTTGTTCTGCCGGCCAAGGGAAATATACAGATATATATATATTCGTGCAAAGAGTGACTTTAGAATATTGCCACATTTAACACGTAAATAAGCAAAATGCTTTGCATTAAAGATCGTTTTGTTAGGAAATAAAAACATGTTGCCATGTGTATTACGTAGACGCTAATGCTATTATAAATGAAGAAAGAAAAGTCAATAAATTGTTGAAACATATGATAATATTAGTATGAGGAAAACCTTCGACGTAATGAATCTAATCACTGTAACATTCTTGATATCAGAATTTAACATTAAGTAAATTTGAGAGAATAGATAAACAAATGAATAGATTTAGAACTTTGTTGATAAACACAAGTCAACGGCAGTTGTAGTGATACATTGAATGAATTATATGCTATGTGTTGTGGGCTCCAAAAATTTGAGATCCCCCAACCTACTCGATAAAGAAGATGAGTGAGTTAAGTATGAGGTTTCCGGTCAAATCTTTCATTTGAGATAGTAGATAGGACATTGTAGAGTAGTGCCACTGTCATTTCATGGGGACTTTGCCCTAGGAATTGAGGTTTCCCGTAGGCGCAAACTCCTATCGTTAATTACCTCTCTCAATATCGGGAAAACAATTTTAATTAAGGATAGTCATTAAAAAGCTAATTGATCAATATAGTAACAACATATTCAAGATATAATACATATGAAATCATGAAATTATCACTCTGAACTAAGAGTAAATGGCGGGGGGAAATGATGATGCACTTGGACAAGATCCCAAGATTCCGTCATCTTGGGTTGTCATGGCCACTGGTCTAATTTATCAGATGGTAGTCGACCCAACAAGATAGAGAGATCATTGTCAGTAACTATGAATTGCTTCACCCAAGTGATAACAGTGAAATATGTGTTATTTTGGTAGCAAATTTTCCCATATTTTTACATCTATTTGACTAATATTATGCTTGAGAATGAAATTTGTGTCTTAAATGTGCGGGGGGCATGGTGAACAGAGAATTTAGAGCAAAACAAAGTAAAAGTGAGCATAATATAAGAAATTCAGACTAACGCACCCCGCACCGCCAATACAGCGCACCCACTTTAACTCTAGCGCTCCTGTGCCGTGTTTAGTGCCCCTAAGCTCTGCGTAAAGTACCCTCGTCGCAAGTCAACATGTCTATAGCGGATAAAATAATTAAGCTTCAATGCCTCCGAACCATTTTTGCAGCGCAGCAGCGCTGTAAGCAGCTCACTGACACGAGAGGTTTGTATATGCAAATATTTATGAAGTTGACACCACTTAACGACACTAAAAACTTGATGCAGGCAGATTTATAATAAATATGCAATATAATCCTAACAAAAATCTTTTTATAAATATAATTTATCCCTTAAAACTCCTTTTTAAACTGTCAAATCTCTCCTAAATGTCAACACAAGTATACATATCGTGCAAGTAATAAAGGGCTCTAATGGAGTCTTAAATATCGATCCCACATGGAAGTTGGCAAATCCTAAAGTAAATTATGAAATTATTTATAATAAAAACAAGAAAATAAAAGTAAAGTGCAAAATTTGAAAATTGACTACTCAGGTGAATGTTAATTAAAATGCAGATGTAATATTACAGAAATTAAACTAAATTAAATACTAAACTTTCAAAAATAAAATTGCAAAAGTTAAACAAAGTTTTTGTTGTGACGGAAAGTTCAAATTTAAGAAAGCATCATTCCCCTTTACAATGAGTATATGTTATGTAAGGAAATTGAAATCATTTGAACATATATATAAAAACTGTTTTGTGCGAAATAGGAGCAATCCTATTCTTTACCCTCTTTGGAGTGCTATAAAGAATATTGATTAATCCAGATTTTGGTCCCTAATTCCGTGATTAGGCTGGGAGGATATCGGCTGCCACTCTAGAGCTCCCACTACTCCCTCCCTTGAGGGCTAACAATCTCGCATCAATCAACTGAACTAAATTGGGGGGTTTTAATCTATCATCCTAAAATCTCCAATTCTGCATCCAACAAAAGTATATTTTCATATTTATTTGCTCCCAATCCCATGGATAACATACTCTCCTATGAAATCAAATGTGAATCTCCCTATGCTGTAGAAATCATATCTCATTTAAGAACATATGCCTCTCAATAAGTTTTAACATTTCAATTGGCCAGATCGAAAGTAAATGAAGATCGGAGTTCAAATCATCACAAATTATTCTCATTTAAACCGTAGAAAATAAAATTTATTCTTCACAAAATCATATCTTCAAAGTAGGGAGAAGGATAAAGAAGACTACTCAGAATTCATGAGAAGAATACGATAAAACATGAATTTCATATATAAAAACGAGTTTACAAAACAAAAGAAATAAAAATACAACTTACCTCATAATCCTTCCCAAGCAAATCCCTAGAAGTTCTCTCCAAGCTTTTCTCTCTTTACAAACAGTCTTGATTCTCTCTTAGAAATATAATGAAGAAGAAATCTCTCACCTTCCCTCTCTTACAAACTTAGAAGAAAATCTCCTCTTCATTCTCTCTCTAACCCTCACGCCACACACCAAAACCTCTCTTTTCGTCCCCCCTTCTTTGCCTCTTCAAGTCTTCATCTTTTATTTTGGGTTGCCTCCTTTAGAATAGAATTCAAAATTCCTCTAAAAGTCAACTCTTTTGAATTCAAAAGATGCGTCATTTGATCCAACAGTCATACAGTCATATCCCTTCATAAAATCCCTTCATAAGAGAACCTTTCAAAGTGTCAAGATGCATTGAATTACTCCAAGAGTTGTGTCAAACACGTGTTCCTTTGAAAATTCGCGCAAAATTTGTCTCGAACCGCCTTAATTTGAAAAAGTTGTCCCTGGCGCATCATGCGCCAGGATCCCAAAATTCATCTTTCTGGATTTTGGTACATCATGCGCCCATCTGTCGCATCATGCACCAAAATCCAAAATTGACTCTTTTTGCTCTCAATTTCGTCCTTTTTGTCATTTTTGCTCCAAATACCTATAAATGATATACCTGTAACAAAAACACAAAAATACCCTTCTTTAAAGTGCAATATCACCAAAGAAAAATCATAAAATAGGTACTTAAATTAGTATATTATTTTGGTGTATCAAAATCCCCCAAACTTAATGTTACTTGTCCTCAAGTGAAATTTTTATTACATAAAAGCATATGGTTTAAGATAGAGATTAACTTATAACTTCTATACTTTAGTTTAATAAATAGAATAACAAAATTTAAGAAAAACCCATCAATAACTTATATTCAATTCTAAGTCTAGAATACTTAGTAATCAAATTTAAGATTTCTGAATCTCTATT